CCTCTTGCCTACTCAGTTGTTGTTTTAGCATTTTAAATGGCATAAATATGAATATACGAAAAAGGAAATATATTAATAGTTAGGCTTCAGACTTTTTAGTCCGCAGGTTATATAAAAGTTGGTGCTTTTACAATTCCTTTTTATTGTTGCTGTTCAACTTTTTGAATTTGTCATGCAAGTATGTAACAAAATGCTGAAAAGATAATGTGCCAGCAATAATTAAATAAATTCCCATTTACCTCCAATTGCAGCTTGAGTCTGTGAGCCTAAAGTTAAGCTCCAGAAAGTCTTCTGTCGCACATGAACTCGTGCAACAATTTCCTTTAAAGCCGCCTGTTTAATGCAAGTTAAATGTCACAATAAATAAACTCGATCACCCTTGCCACAATTTCAAGCGTTTTTGTCATCCTCTTGCTCATTGAACCGCATAAATCAATAACACGAAATTAAAGCAATAACAACATCAAGTGTCTGCTTCAAAGACCGGTAATAAGATACTCTTACTTTTACATACAAATCAGATGTTTTTTTTGGAAATATTTCCAATAGAAGTAAAATAGTTGTCATGGTAGAGATTTGCTGACACTTTTTGTAGATAAGGATTTGTGTGAATTGTCTTACTTGCAATGCCTTTAAAAGTACTAACGAACCGAACAGATAAGCAGATGGGTATTATCTTGGTAGATCTGGAAATGCCATCAGGCAGTTGGTGATGTTTCAACACGCGCCGAAATAGCTCAGTTGGGAGAGCGTTAGACTGAAGATCTAAAGGTCCCCGGTTCAATCCCGGGTTTCGGCAAATTAGTTCTTTTTTATATTTGTTAAATCCTGAAATAATCAGACTGATAAGCAATACTATGCTTCTAATATTTTTAAATATTGCTAGGAATTGTAAAGTAATGTAAGAAAGCCAAACTCTTTGGTTTTCCCTACTTTTGATTGAGGGCTCATATTTTGGACAAAAATATTCTTATCTAGTATACCTTTTTACCCGTTGGATACAGGGTATGAAAACAAACAAAGTCCGAACGGGATATTTCGTCACTATAAAAATCAGAAGTACAACATATTTTTGATAGTCATTACATATTTCAGATGAAAATACCAATTATTTATATATAGTCAAAAACTAGACGTTTCATTTATTTCGAAGTCTGTTTGTGGAAACCAAAACATTTCCAGTTTAAGAACAGTCGTGAGTGAGACCATATTTTAAAATATTTATTAACCGAAAATTGAAACCTTATAGCATTCACAACATTTGTTTAATATTTTCGTAATTGTAAAAATAACAATTTTGAGTCTATTATGCAATTAAATAAAATATTTCAAATGATATAAGTTTCCTCTATATACAGTTTATAAAGACAGCTTATAGGTGACAAGGACTGCCATGATTCACCGTATGCTGACCAATACAAAATTTAAGTTAAAATACTCCTAGGAAGGGTATTATAGAACTGGAGCAATCAATAAATACAAAAGCAAATACTGTAAACAAATAGCCAACATTATGTAAATTAAATATTTGCCAGCAAATACAAATAGGAACACAAACACTTGAGTCGTGAAGTTGTGAGAGTTGAAGGAGGCACACACACATACACACGCACACGCACACAAAGACAGACACACACGGGTGAACTTTGAGTCCTTGGGCCTTGAAGGCAGCGGCAATGCGATTGCATAATCGACTCAACTCGTTTCCGTTCGAATTCGATGATTTGCTAAATAGCTAAAGAGGCCAAGCATCAAACGCATACAAGCACAAGTTTCAAGGATACGTGCGTGTACGTCTGCCTAATGTGTATATACTATATCTGTGTGCGTGCGTGTGTGTGTGTGTGTGTGTTTGAATTGTTGGCCTAAATGAATAAAAACTTGCGTGTGGCACGAAGGGCAAAGTTTTGTATCCTTGTTGCTTGCTTTTTGGGCAACAAACTGGAGAGCAACAACAGCAAATGGCTATAAGCTACAACGAAAGAAGAAATAATGTTTAAGGACATTAGGGATACACCTGTCGATATTTTTACAGTTTGGCGTGCGCTCGTTTGTGTTCATTAAAAAAGAGACGCTACCCTCAATAACCGGTTCCATTGGCTGACCAGCCCCGTCCATGCCCCCCACACGCTCCCTTCGCTGTGTGTCCTTCGTCTGCCATTTGCGAAACAACAACAAATGATACGCTGCTTGATTCGCAGGAAGCGCAGCATTTCCGCCTGACTCAGCCAACAAACCCGTTTGCAGCAATCCTGTCAGTTGGCGCAGTTTGCCAGCTTGCAGTAAAGATGGTGCTCATGTCCTTGTACCACACATGCTGCGCTCTTCTTGGTCGGGTCGCGTGTTTTTATACTCTGTACATAAAATGTAAAAGAGTATATTAGGTTTGCGCGAGCTGAAAAATATAACAGGCAGAAGGAGGCGTGGCAGACCCCACAAAGTATATATATTCTTGATCAGAATGACAAGACGAGTCGATCTATGTCCGTCCGTATGAACAACTGGATCTCAGAGACTATAAGAGCTAGAGACACCAAATTTTGCACAAAGATGGCTTATGTGTATATGCTGTGCAAGTTTGTTTTATTTTTTTTGATTTCCTTCCCCTTTCCTCCTATGGGGTTTTTCTCGATTTTCCATTCGTATAATCGCCTATATCTCGGAGACTATAAGACCTAGGGACATCAAATTTGAAGTCCAAGATGCCTTATGTGAATATGCAGAAAATGTGTTTTTTTTTGGAATCCCCCTCCACGCCCCCTCTCCCACGCAAATCGTGTTTTTCTCTAACTCCCGTAATTCTTGGAAATTCAAATTTGGCAAATACCCCCCAGTTAGTGATTATGTGTCCGTATGCCAAGGTTCATTGGGAGAGACCGGTTTAACAGAAAGTTATAGCCATAAATATAATTGATGCCCAGGCACTGCCCGCAGCTGTTGTTGATATTGGTGATTTGGTTGACTGCAAACATGCTTACACAGACACGAATAGACATGCATATACTCACACAGACGCAACATGTGGAATTATACACCCTTTACGTGAGTTCGAATACCGAAAGTAGTAAAATCGATCAAATTTTTTTTTTAATTTTCTTAATTTTTTGTAATTTCGATAATTAAACTAAGCATATGTACAGAGTATTTCATAGTCGGATCACCACACTTTAGCTTGTTTTTTTTTTTTAATTTTCCTAATTTTTTTAATTTCTATAATTACTCTAAACATATGTACAGAGTATTTCAAAACCGAGACATCCGACTTCAGCTTCTCTATTTGTTTTTTTTTTCTTAAGGTCCGGACGATTGCAGTTACTCGCTTTTCAATGTTATCGTCTTTTTGTTGCCACAACCAGAACTGCTCCATTTCGACCAACACAAGGCACTGTAACCAAAAATGTAATCACCATTAAGACTCATTACCAACGGCAACCGAGAGCAGACCAGGTCCTTCCATGTAACTAAGTTCATTTTGTTTTCTCTGTACGCCGTTCACGGCACAATCCCCATAAAATATATCTCCGAAACTTACACAACGACAATGCGCAGCAACAGAGACAATGGCAACACAGTCATAACCGTATGCAATGCAAGTGTAGATATGTTTGTATGTATATGTATGTGTATGTACGAGTATGTCTATTCACCTAATATACCTATATTAAGACAAAACTATATATGCCCTGGCTGATACTACTGTGTGATTCGTCCTTTTATTTGTTAAGCTTTGAGTGTAAGAAACGTGTATTGAACAGAGTTTAGAAAGAGTAAAATAACTAAAGCTTAGTTTTGTTAACTTCAAATGATGATATTGGTTTTGAAATAAATACATAGTGCATGAAACTATGAAAACATTTTGTAACGTTGCCAACATGTTGTAATGTTGTAAAACATGTGTATGCTGAACTCAATAGTCATTGAAGTCTCCCTAAAAAGACGAGACAGAATCACATTAAAAGCTAACGAAAGTAATTATAAGGGGTAATCTTGTAACGTCTGGTTATTTTCAAATCTAAGATTCCTAATTGGAATTTATTCTTCTCTCGTTCTATACAACAGATCATGACAAATTTGTTGTTGGAACAACTGTTAGATTACAAGTTCTTTGAACCAATATGTAAATAGCATGACCCAACAAAAATTGAATATAAAAATAAACATTAAAAGGAACAAATATTAAATTGTGCAATACAAATATATTCAGTTTTCATCGACTTCTATTCAATTCCACGGAGCGTATTTGGAATGCACAGTGTGTTATGTTCAATACTCGTATGTAGAAATAAATATGACTTACTTATATAAAAGGTATATATTGCTCATATAGTTAGTATAGCCCGATAAATTTGCGGTTACTTAAATGTCAGAAGAAGCGCCACTCGAAAACATCCCATTGGTGCATTTTAGTTCTGAACATAGTTGTTGGGTTCTGGTCGGCAACGGAAATAAATGTTGAAACGCTGAACAATTTGTTTGTCAAAAGTTGCGAGGGGCGGACATGGCGGACATGGGGCGACTTGTACAGTTGCCGTCACCGATGCCTTGGCAAGAAATAAATTCCGGCTGTTTTATTGTCGTCTAGCGCCATTAAAAGAAATTTCGCATTGGGATCTGGAGGTGGGAGTGGGGGTGGTGGTCGTATAGCGCCCGTTATTGACTTCGTCGGCGCCAGGGGACAGTCACAACAGAAAAATGAATTCGACTGCCAAATTGTTGGAAATAATTGCGCTGCAGCTGCAGTAAAATCCAACCAACCAGGCGTAATGTTAACGCCAATGCCGGCTAACAATAAATACCAAAAATGAACTCGGACTGGTGGAGACAACCTTGAGCTAATTTGGCCACGTTTATTCTTCTCTCGTTCCAGGCGGCCTGCCACTGCAGCCAGCAGATCGCATTCCGCCGCTGGCGGCAACATGACAGCCACTAAGTGGGACAACGCCGGCAGGCAGACGGTCCATAAATAGACGTGCAAATCCAGGGAGCAGCCCCAGGCGGAAATGCTTGAGGCATCAAAGCCAGCCACGTTAGCAGCGGTAGCGGCAGCGGCGACATTTGTCAACATGCCGGCCGACAGACGCCTCAACGGCGTCGTGCTCGGCGTCTGCTGCGATCAGCTGCGTGCTGCTCAGCGTCCCCTCCCCATCGGGCTGACAAGCACAATGATGACAACAACAACAATGCCGGAGCCCATGGAGAAGCACCTGGAGGAGCGACGACGATACTGGCCACCGCCTTGCTTCATACTGCTGATATCCTTGCTGGAGGTGGGTGTACGTGTACATTATAGGACATCAATTGAAATCAAGGCTGCGTGCCTAGAAGCTCTTAGGTCGCCGGGATCTGGCCTGATTTTCCTGCCACACGACCCTCTAACCCCAACAGCCCCCCTAATGTGGCACATGTCGCGGGCGTACTCGTAATATCCAAAGGGCACACAAAATGTTGCGTTTTAATGTGATTAAAATAATGCCAAGGGTTGATTGAGCGCGCGCCACAGTGGCAATAAAAACTCAACACCCTCCTCAATGTGGATACAGAAAGTGGAGTGGTGCGTGGTGTGGGGATGGTGGTGGTGATGGCGGTGGGGGGTGGTTGAGAGCGGGGCAGCGGGCAGCACATGTTGACGTTATGTAGTTAAGTTGCCATGACATCGATGCTCGGATTGCAAAACAACCAACACAACCACACACACGCTTGGGTGGGCCAAAGTTTTTGTTTTTTAATTGCTCCTCACTCGTACAGCAGACGCTGACGCCCCCTTCGCATCATCCTTTTTTAAATGCCCCTCCCGCTTATGCAATCTAATTTATGCGGTTTATTGTGGCTGCTTTTTTTCTTTAAATGAAGAGGAGCAGAAAACAAACACAATTTCTATTCCGTATCTCGTGCACTTTGTGAAGAATTCATTGAACCCTGAAGTGCCGCCAACACAAGCTAACAAACCCCATTTTCTGGCTGGGACTCCCTGCAGCTGTTCAGGATCTTCGCTCTGCAAGGAGGCAGGGAAGCGAAGTGAGTTCATTTGTTTAACAGTAAAGGATGCAGTCAAAGGGATAGGAGTAAGTGCGCCGAGCAGCTGAAGCTGCGGTAGTTGATTGTTCAGTTTTAAGTGTGTTTGTTAAAGTACGGCCAAAGCTGGAGCTGTAACTGCGACAGTCGTTCATCGTATTACTAAAGCGCACACAAAAATAACTTGCGAAGAATATCTCACAGTTCTCATATCTTATTAAACGACATTTTGGAACCCTTGGAGCTTGCATTATAAATATTTTACATCACTATGCATCTTACAATTATATACAAACTTATACAAATATTTTGTTCATCAACAAAGTTTAACTCAATAGAAGTAGAACGCACCTTTCAGTTTCTTAATTAGCTCTCAAAGTTATACGATTTGAAATTTTTGTAATCATGAACAAAATACTAAGCTTATTTTAATAAAAAAAAATGCGTTTTATCCATTTCTTTAGATCCACTGGGATTCTAGAAAGCAGTCTTCAGCATATCCCAAGATCTTCGCCAAGTCTCTCATTTTAATCGTTATGTAAAATCATCGTTTTTGTCATTGTCCAGTTACATTGCATATATGTATATATTGGTGTACTAATAATGGTTTGGGGAAACATTTCTATATAAAGTGAATAATGAATTCAAGTTTCTCACTTTGAAAGGGGCATGCAACTTATATTGGTTGTTTATTTTTCTGACTTAAGCCCATTACGAATCCTTCTTTAACTTCGGTCGTTACTTCTGGCATGATTGCAAATTATTTCCGCCAACTCGGTGGCATCTTACAATGGTCGAGGGCTGAAATTCCAGACCTGTGGTGGTGGAGGCTGAACTCAGTGCGGAGGGCAAGGGAGGGGTATAATAATAGTTGATCATATTTCAGGGCCAAACACTTGCACAGGCACACACAGGCGAAAAGGGCCGAGCTCCAGCCATGAGCACGGCAAGCAATTTTGCGCTGTCTTGACTTCTGAGGCAAATATATTGCTGGATGGGCAGAGGAACATATACGAGTATGTATGCCCGACTCCACTCGCACTTCGAATTCGCGCGTGCTTCATCGTCTGTGTGTCAGTTGGTGTGTGTGTGTGTGTGTGTGTGTGGGTGTGAGAGTGGCGTGCATTTGTAAATGGCTCTTGGCTTCCGGGTAAAGGACACCATAAGTGAAACGGGAGACGGACCGCCCAGCAGAGTGCGTGCGAAAATCCAACACGTTCGCGATTTGTTTTCGCAAACAACATGAGAGAGTCAGCTGTTGGTGTGATTCCCCATTGCCCCACACAGACTGACCGGCGGCCACACAATACGAGTTCGAGTGCGAGTACGAGTGTGTCTTCTGTTTGGGGAAGGGAATCGGGAGTGGGGCGCATGCAATTTTCCACGCCGGCTCCGTCTGCCACGGCGTCTCGCCGAAATGTGCCACCGCACATTTTTGCTGCTCGAACGGCTCTGCGGACGGGGCATTTATTGTCTGCCACGTCTACTGCGTCTGCCATGTCTGGGTCTGCCGGCAGTCTCAGACTGCTGCTACCCCCGTTCATTCTGGGGTTGCTTTGTTTGGGTTTTCCTTCTGCCTTTTCTTTCCTGTCGCGACTGTGGCGCCGCTGGCAGCCGTAGACAACCACACAGACGACAACAACCACAACGACGACAACAACGAAGTCAACTGCGGGAAAGCAGCTCGCTGCAAAGGGCAAAGAAAATTGTTTCGTATTTTGATGGTTTTATTGCGAATAGCTTTTGGCCCCTTAAAAGGGCGTGCTCCCCCTGCCTATCTTATAAATGGAATTGTTTTTAGATTTGTTGCGGTTACTCCCGCCGCCCAACTCACTTGATTAATCGGCTCACGTGGGCCAGCAGCCATTTGCCAAAATTTGCCAACACTGTACCACAGGAAAGTCTAGCTTTACATCCAAATATAAAATTATTATAGACTTTGCGCACCAAAGTTTCAAATGAAATTGAAGCTATAAACCATTTATTGTGTTTTATAATCATTTTTAAAAATTTCTTTGTACATGGCTATTGGTTTGCGGTTTGTGCTTCTGTTACGCAATCAAAACCATACATTTTGACGGAAATGGTCATTATTGGCGATGGGGACGTACAGTATTGCAATATTTGGCTTCCCAGAAGCATTTATTTAAAACATATCCTTCTATATGCGGCTATTAAATTGTGAAAATTGATTAAATCAAACAAAACGAAACAAACCGCTTTAGAGATTTCTTTTAATCGCCCACCAGAAAATGTTTATGCATTTCTGTAAAAAACAAATTCAGCATTCTGTGCCTTATTGAGACCATTTTGGCACTAAGCTTTATACAGCTTTTTTCACCATTCAACATTTTACGTTCAATATTTCAGATTGGAATCTTTGTGTACGAATTCGATGAGCTTGCAAACGGCGACTCGTGGCTCATCTACCGCCCGGATCGGCGACTCCAACTATGGCGCTTCGTTTCCTATGCCCTGCTCCATGCCAATTGGCTGCATCTCGGATTCAATGTGGGGACGCAGCTGCTCTACGGGGTACCACTGGAACTGTTTCATGGATCCCTTCGAATTGGCATCATTTATGTGGCAGGCGTCCTAGCGGGTTCTCTGGGCACAAGCATTGTCGACTCCGCGGTGTATCTGGTGGGGGCTAGTGGTGGTGTTTATGCCCTTCTATCTGCCCAACTGGCCAATATCCTGCTTAACTTCGGACAAATGCGTCATGGTCTGGCCCAGCTTGTTTCAGTTGGCATTTTCGGTAGGTTGGCTACGCAATAAGCATTCCTTATCCATCTTATTCCATAAAAACTCCTCAGTGTCCTGCGATTTGGGCTTCGCACTGTACTCGAGGCAGTTCTCCATGGAGACTTCACTGCCTGCGGTCTCGTATATAGCGCACATGACTGGCGCGTTGGCCGGCTTTACTGTGGGCCTCTTGGTTCTACGGAACTTTGACGGCGGATCGCACACCAGACTTTTGCGGTGGCTGGCTTTGGGAGTTTGTGCGGCTTTCAGCGTTTTTGCTATTGCCTTCAATCTTATCAACTCGGTGACGGCCCAAATGCTGGCCGAACAAGAGGGTGAGGTCATCAAGGAGCATCTGCTGCACGATCTGGGCATCTCGTAGATAGTTGTTGATGAGCCCACAAACGGTACCTCCTGAGTTTACGAGCAAACTGTTGTGCTTTTTTGCAAAAGACTGAGAACTTATTCGAATCAGCAGACGGTGCATCAAAGAGTCTATGAAGGCAACTTCGACTTGCGTTAATATCTGGATAATACTCACACCTACTATATCATACATAGCCTAGTCAATAGATTTAAAGAGATCCTAAAAAGTGCTCAAATGTATCTCTAAGAACATGAGTAATTCACTGATTGTATATTTTCTTTACTTGGTACGCTCAAACTATCTCTAATGTCATAAATGTCAATAAATAATATTTTACAGTATTGCCAAAGGAGTAGGAAGACCCATTTGCTCAATGCGTCAGGGCCGAGCGAGGCTCATTCGAATGCAAGCGTTTCAAAGACTTTCCAATGAAATCTATTTGCATACTTGTATTCATGTTTGTACTGGTAGTTCAGGCCAACAGATATTAGGAAATGAAAAGCAATAAAAGTCAGACATTAGCATAACTACTACACTACATAAGTATATATAAATATAAGTATATATTTACGCCAAAGTCAAGATTATTACATTTTATGGTACTAAATGCGCTCTTCAATGAGCTTAGATAGGCTACTAGATAAGAATCAGAAACCGAAGCTTATTATACTCAATATCTGATACAAGCAACGAAATAAAATATCATAAAATCCATTATCTACAAAAAAGTGTTTTACTTCAAGCGAGAGTTCTTCCATTTATTGATTAAATTGAAGATAGTTTCGTTAATCGTTACTGGCGTTAGTAAACATTAACCTACTTCTTAACACATTTCAAGGAAATAGAATTAATCGATTGTCACCATCAAACGCCCACAATCTCAGGTCTGAGAAAGAGAGAACGCTACAGTCGAGGAAGCCCGACAGTGAAATACCCTGTACCCAGACACTGAGTTATATGCGGAAGCAAAAAGAAGAAGAAGAGCGAGCTTGATGCTGCAGATTGTGGGCGTAGTACCGGAGTGAAATTGTTTCGCAAATAATTTTTCTAAGAAATAACCGATTTGAATGAAATTTGAAACAAAAAGTAGATAATTATATAGAAATTATGTGTGCAAAGTTGGGTTAATGTAGCACCTATAGACCGCAGACGGACATGTGTAGATCGATTTCTCTCGTCATGCTGATCAAGAACATAAATACTTTATGGGGTCGCAGATGGCTCCTTCTGCCTGTTACGTACTTTGCACAAACCAGGGTATAATAAGCCAGAATTCCCGCTTCGAATATTTTCCTGACATTTACCATCAATAGTTCGTTATAACATACTTGTTCTTTTGCTCGCATTTTGGCATTCATGGATAAAATCCGCAGCAACAACATTCTCATTCAACACTTTTGTTCCTAAATACATACATATGAACCAATTACTGTAGTCTAGCATTTCCCACTTTCGTTTTCAGTGACGCTATGCAAATATTCCGATATTCTCACATTTGGATTGGATTTATGTACAGATATTACACATTCATATGTACATAAAGTATGTATATAGACTCTTCAAGAGTCGTTTGTTTTGGACATCGAAGCTGCAGTATTTGCCTGCTGCTCTCCACTGTTGACTTTAGTGCATCAACAAATACGAGTATAAAGGGTAAATCAAATGCAAAATCTGCATATAGCACCTCAATATAAAAGGCATCGCGTACTCCACGGTCCCAGTCCGGTTTGGGGAGAATTATCGGGTCGGTGGCACCGCTTCATATACAGGTTCACACCTGGTTACTAGTCCTTGCATTCCGAGCACCCGTTGCCACGAAACTGCCACTTGGCACTAAAAATAATTTACGATTATAACAACAGTATTTTCGACTTTATGGACGTCAGGCCGATCCCGTATCTCCGTCAAAATTGCGAATACTATTTGCGAATACTGCATTGCAATTGCATTCGAAAACAAAATATATACAATTGCCGTTGAGTGTTGTTCGTGTATTCAGCTTTCGTTAGCTCGTTGAATTGGCCTCATTAGGCGCCGTGTTGCATTGAATCGCAAAATAAACTGAAATTTTAAACGTTTGTAACCGAAATTGCACTGATACTTAATAACTCATCGCATTTATGTTCACAGTTAAGCAAATATATAAGCAAGCTTTGGTTTGGCAGTTTTGAAAACAAAAAATTATTTTTGTTAAGACCGACAACGAAAGCTAGCTGGTTCAGGTCCTTAACAACTGATTTTATCGATCCCGCATTTAATTTATAAACTCATTGCTGCATAGGCCATGCAAAAGAATAAGAAACATGGAATCAAATCTTTTTGAGAGTGAGAGTCGAACTCACAAAAATACATATATAGACTTATTTTGATTTCAATTTAGCTTTAAGGCAACATACAGTTAATGTTTCGTAAATTGTCGAACTGAGAGGAATTTGTGTCAATGCTCTCCATTATTACTGAATTGCAATGGTTTGGGTGTGGTTTGCAACTATCAGGAGTATTGATAAATGTGTTGAAACGTTAAACTTTTAATTATTTTTATAAAGATACTAAGCAAAATCTTCAGACACACAAAATATGTTATTTGGATATTCGTTTATGCAAAACCAATTTAAAAGACGGAAAAAGGGATCAGGGATTGCAACAATCTCCTGAATCCGAAACTTGCGTGCACATTGTACACAATGTACAAGCTTATAGCATTGACTCCTGGTGCCCCATTCATTCTTAGTAATGCCCATCTGAAATGTTTTTGGCCCATCATAGAAGCACTACATAGTTTGGTGGTCAAATTTATAATTGACACAATAAGGGGTTTTTTTGAACCCTTGTCTCCTAGAACCCAACTCCGAATTGGTATGAGTGAGGACCTGCTTTGTTTCTAATCTCAAGCGAACCAACCCCATTGCGAACTATTTTACAACGATGTCAATCATTTCTTGAACACTTCATAAATATTTTCCAGAAATTCTTGGATTGAAGAAAAGCAATTGAACAAAATGAAATTTCTTTAAACACTCTCTTGGTAAGCTCTTCAACACAAAATAATCCACTCTTTATGTAAATATATTAGGAGGCAAATAGGAATTAAACAAGTTATTAAGCAATTTAATAATTAATTATGCAATGGAAGTAGTAATAGATCACGAAAATGCTCCAGCCATTACCCGAAAGTTTGAATTCGCCATCGGTGGGTGGCAAATTTGCTAGCCTTTTGAGCAGCAGTTAGAGCCAGAAGAGAATATCCTAAACACACACAATCATACACACACATACACAGATAAAAACACATTCCAAACGGTGAGGCGCACATTGTTGGGAGACAGTGATGGTTCAATCCCACCAACGAACAGACGAACGGTGAGCCAATTTAGCAACCCGTATGCGATCTCTACATACATACTGCACTCGTAGTATTCGAGATGCTGGCTACTAACTGGGCAATCAGACGAGCGGTCCCGACTGGCCTTCCTGGCCGTCTGTATCTTGAATCGCTTAAATCCTCGTTAAGTCATCATCAGTAAGGGAGATGGTCGAAGCATATCGACGACAAAGACGAGACATTTGACAACAAATATTTGTGGCATTAAATGCGCTGGTCGGGTGCAAGCGGGGCGTTGTGGGTTAACATGTGCTGCCGGTGCCGCTTCACTTGCTCATTTCACTAATTTAATGAAGACCTTTGTGGCGCGTTCTGGCCACTGTCCCGACCGTTGACTTCACCGGCAACGTCGTCGTCTTCAGCGTCTTCCTCGGTAGATTGATGGCCTTCGCTTTGGCTGCGGTTGGGCTGATGGGGACAAGCGACATACCCGACCGCATACGACAGTCCAGGAGTGCGGCACTTGCGGGTCCTGCCGCTGCCACTGCCACTGCCTCTGCCTCTGCTTTCACTACCTTGCTTGACTGACTGACTAACTGACTGAATGGCTGCATCAATAATTTGTGTTCGCCGTTCAAAATAATTGACCAAGTTTGTCTGTTTGCGGTTCAGTCCGACCAGTCCGCTTGGCAGCCAGCTTTGTGGCATTTAATCTACTTGCAGCCGTCGAAGACAATGATGCTGGCGATGGGGCCGACGAGGACGAGGACGTGGACGACATCGACAACTGCAACGGCGGCAGTGATGGCAGCAGCTGGCAAAAACAGCAAACATGTTATCCTCTACGCCAGTGGCAGACCCCAACCTTGGTGGAGTTTGCGTAATTGAAATAATTTCAAGTGAAAAACTGCATTCAAAAGTTCAAATTTCAAACAACAACTGAGAATGCCATCGCAAAGTGTCTGACTAGTAGATATCCTTTATATGCATATATTAAAATCGACCTTTACTATTCAGAGTACGTGTACTCTGGAATAATCTCTATACTTTCCCTTATTTCATTTCATTCTCAGATACGATTAGAAGAGGCACTGCAAGCAAATTTCGTAAGAGTCAATGGACTCGTTCGGTTATTTTGTCTCATAAATATCTACAAGTAGATACCCTCACACAATGTAGTGGTGTAGGGTATAAAAATTTACATGCGCAAATTTGAGAAGTCGTCATTCACAAAAAACGCGTCAACAGCTTCGGTTCTGTCGTTGGGCAGCTGCTGGTCCCTAATCCTGGACATGGCAGCAAATTACAGCCCAGCAACCCACCAGTTGCCTCAAAGCACAGGCATCGCGGCATTAGCAAAGCACAGGAGCACATTATGTTCGCAAAAAACAGACGACGATGAGGTGGGGAATAGCGACGCATGCCGATCTGACGACTGGCGGCAAACACAGTAATTTGCTTAATTCGACGCTCAGCCAAAACTCGCTGCCCAACTCATCCGGTTGCCCCACCTCTCCAGGTGGCTCTATAAAAATGGGATCTCCGCACGCGGCCGCCACTCGTCGATCGCCCGCTTAGGACTTGGAGATGGCAGTCGATCGAAATTTTTAGTCACGTGAATCACGTTTGGATCTGTTTTTCCAACTCTTTTTTCACAAACAAATATGTCGGTTGAATAAAAATTTGGCTTGTTGTAGAATACAAATTTCTAATCCCGCATTACTTTACAGTTGGGTACTGCATTAAATCCATTAATTTAAAATGTTTAATGCTAAGCGCTACAGGCTGATATGCAATACTATATACGGATGCAAATCTAGAATTTATCATTTTTAGAAACATCGGATACGATTTGACATAACCCTTTTGTAAGGTACTGAAGCAGTGCTCCTCCAAGAAATAACGGGAATCAAATTTGAAAAGATACCCGTTGAAAGAGATAAGAAATATTTTCGCCTAAAATATAGTAGGATTGATGTTTCTATTTCGGTAAGTTTCAGATTGCTTTTTTATATCCGTTTAAGTAAGTTCTACATTTGTTCGATCATACTTAGCTGTCGTTTTTTGGCAGCCAGTACGAGGCATCGTAAACTCTCCTTCAACAGCAGAACAAGCCTTGGCTTCTCTCCGTATTCTACATGATTGCAAGGATAATAGCTAGAGTCACCAAACTAGGTATGTTTTTTTAGAAGTTCCTACCCCAACAATACTCCCATAATAATAAATTCAATTAAATACTACCCCAA